CTCAGTTGTTGGAACATCGGGGGCCTTTGAAAACCCGACCTCTGGTTGTTGTTGTTATTCCACCCTCCTTGATTACCTCCCCAATTTCTTTGATCGTTGCCACCTCAATTGTCTTGGTTTCCTTGATTATTTCAATTGCCTTGATTATTGTTATTTCCCCAATTGCCTTGATTGTTGTTGCCACCACTCCAATTGCCTTAGTGGCCTAGGTTGTTCCAATTTCCTTGATTTTCTTGTGACCTCTATTGTTGTAGATTTTGAGCATTGTTTCTTTGACCTTGATAATTGTTGACGTATTGCGCTTCTTCTTATTGCTCATTATACTAATCACCTTAGTCATACCCACTACCATCTTGCATGAATTGTTCCGGACGGCTTTGCCCTTGTTGACCTTTTTGTCTTCTCTTGTTCATCATCATATTTACGTCTTCCATCGCATTCACTTGTTTCGGCCCTTGAACTTGTTGCAGCTGATATTTTGCTAATTGGTTCATTGTGGTTGTTAACTCTGCGATAGCTTGCCCATGATCATGTAGTTCCTTGTGTGGGTGAATGATATTGGGGTCACCTTGCGGAACATTGGCCCTACTTTGCCATGCCGATGAGGTATCTGCCATCTCATCCATAATTTCACAAGCTTCAGCATAAGGTGTGTTCATGAAGTTCCCGCCAGCGATTTGATTTACCACACATTGATTTGTTGTGTTGATCCCCCTGTAGAAGGTTTGTTGGATCATGGCCTCAGTCATATCATTATTCGATCACTCTTTAACCATGGTACGATATCTTTCCCAAATCTCGTGCAATGGCTCATTGGGCTCTTGCTTGACCGCTAGAATTTCATCCCGTAGTGTAGCCATGTGCCCCAGAGAGAAGAATTTGGCAATGAATTTTTCGGCCAACTCATCCCATATATGGATGGAATGATTGGGCAATCTCTCTAGCTATTCCACTGCTTTTCCCCGTAAAGGAAAGGGAAATATCCTCAACCTCAGCGCATACTTAGAAATATTGGTTTGCTTGCTCCCCCAACAAGTATCGACGAACCCCTTAATATGCTTGTAAGCATTTTGATTTGGAGCCCCGATGAAGAATCCTCGTTGCTCAAGTAGTGTAAGCATCACGTTGGTGATTTGGAAGTTGCCCACCCTAATGCGGGGCAGGACTATAGCACTTGCATACCCCTTGTTCGGCAACACCCGGTGCACTGCCGCTCTTGGTGGAGGTGGGGGAGGGACGGGAACATTATCATTAGGCGGTCGGCCTCGCCTATTTGCTTGAGGTTCGGGAAGAACCTCATCTCCTTGATCATCGTCCACTTCCTCCCCCAATGGAAAATTACCAATGGGCTCGTTGTTGAGAGCCATTCTCGTACCTATAAGCAATTCAAAAACAAAATTAGTGACTCGGAAGGAAAAGAAGACAAATCACACAAAAACCTAGATATATAGCTAAATCCGTTTAACTCCCCGGCAACGGCGCCAAAAATTGATGTCGCCCAAACTCACACCACAAATATAGGTAGTGAGGCGGTCGAAGCAATAATAAAACCCAACGCAAGTCGGGGTCGAATCCTCAGGGAGTTAGAATTGGGATTAGGTATATATTTAGTGTAATTGTACAATATGCCTTAGATTACACTTCCACATTCTTGTTTGTTGTTTCTACTTCTACTTTAAACTATTGATTGCAATTATAAAACTAGAAGACAATATTTTTGGTTTTGGTTGTTTTCCAAATGATAAAAGATCTAGGGTCGTGACTTCCATCTAGGTGGTTACCTAATGGGTTGTAAACTCTAGGTCAAGTTTGATGGGTCGGGGTTGTAATATAGCAATCACACGCAATTACCCACTCTATACCTCTCGGTAGTTTGAGTGATTTTGCCCAATTTGGCTTTCTCAAGTCCAAATGGGTATTGCACAAAATAAGTGATAAATGCTCAAGTCGGGTCTTACTATCTCTAGATTCAACCCCTTTAATTGGGGCTATCAATTTCTTGAGTTCACCCCAATTTCTTGTTAGTCAAGTTTTTCTAGACTTAGTCTCTCTTTCTCAAGTAGAGACCAAGTCAATTAGGCATGAATCAATGATTGCAACCATTAATTCTTGAATTCAAACAAGAACTAGGCTAAATATCACTAACCCAATCACAAACTAGTCCTAAATCAAACACACATTAAGTACCCATACTAGGGTTGAGCCACAACCCTATCTAGAAATTTAGCTACTCATGAAAAATGAAGTAATACAAGAAGAAATTAAGATATAATGCATAATAATTAATTAGGGAAAGAAAATCTAATGTTTAGAAGCTAATCTAGTACAATATTACTCAAAACAGTAAAGAAAAATGGCTCAGGTGCTTTCCCAAAACAAAACTTACCCTAAAAATGACAAAAAATTCTATTTATACTAAGCTGAAAATATCTGACAAAAATGCCCCTGCGAAAGTTGTGCGGCCGCACAATTCTGTGTCCGGTCCGCACTCTGAGCTTGACTGGTCAACTGGGTCTTCTGTAGTCACATAAAAGTGGGATGTGGTCGCACTTCATTTGATTATGCGGACCGCACAATTCTGAGTGTGACCGCACACTTGAACTTGGGCTGGAACATGGCTCTCTGATTCTTCTCTTTTACGGACCGCACAATTATGAGTGTGGCCGCACTTGTCATCCTACGGCCGCACAATTATGATGCGGTCCGCATATTTTCAGCCTGCCCAAAAACTAACTCTCTGAATCTCCTCTTCTGCGGCCGCACAATAATTGTGCGATCCGCATACTCTGAAGAAAATCTGACATTGATGTTTCATTGTTCTGCGGCTGCACACAGTATTGTGCGGTCCGCACTGTGGGCCTTTTTGCCTTGTTTTGGTCCTTGTCCATTTTTAACTCCTTCTTGAGTTGATTTTGACTTTTTTGGCTCGTCTCCCAATATTCTTGCACGAAAGTACATTTTATTAGTTCTCGGGAATACCTTTAAGCATTTTTGAGCTAAAACGCAAGTAAAAGAAAGCAAATGAGCGGTCAAAATCCCTACTTATCAAGCAAGCGTTGCAATCTTTTTCCCTTGAACCCGTTTTGTCCCAAATAATTTTTCCGGCAGGGTTTTTAACGAGGCAATAGTAAATCGTGCTAACTTTGAATCGAAGACCAGTTTTTAATCGGAGTCAATGGTCTCATCAACAGTATCTGAGCCCTCTCTAGATCGACCTAGAATACTGGGGGCTATCACCCTCGGGTCAAGCTTCTTTGCAAGGAAAGAGGGAAACTTTGTGCTTGAACAGTCTAGGCTCGGTGGTTAGGATTTATTGTAATGGCCAAACGGTGAAGTGAACCAGGCCCGCGTAGGCCACCTTAGCCATAATACAAGCTTTTACACGCTTTCAATCTTGTACGTTACACGCAGATATGAAAGAAAGTTTCTACCTTGCTATTACATACTTTGGCTTCTAAAAGCGTCGAGCCTAAAGGCTATTCCTACTCGGGAACTATCAAGCCCAAGGGCCACCTCTATCCGAGCCCAAAGGGCTACCCTCACTCGGAGACTGTCGTCCGAAATAAGTTCGAGCGGCTCGGGTCATCAAAACCCGGAGGCACAAAACCTATTAGGTAGTGCCTAAACCTAAAAGGCTACGGCCCCCCTAAAAACGGTTCGGAGACGTCCGAAACCCGTAATCAAAATGTAAGGCCTTCAACAAACATGTTAAAAGGTTACCCTCGACAAAGGCATCGTCTAAAAACACTTAAGCATCTTGGAAAAACTTTCGGTCACTCCGAGTTTTCAAAAGTTTCAAGCAAAAATTGCATTGAGGTCAGGTTTTGTCCGGACCTCCGAAAAATAAATGACTTATTACTACGTTTGATTTCGTGCTAAGGCATTAGCAATATTTGCAATGATAAAAAGATGTTAAGATAGTAGAGACTTGAAATTGCCAAAAGGAAAAATTTTTACTCTTAATCTAAGTTGTTGGTTTGGCCATTTATTACGTCTTTTATTTGATTAATCTAACGTCATTGATCACTTGTATTGAATTAATCCACATATCCTTAAAATCACGTATAAATTTAATTGTTATCCATTTTTAAGGTAAACAGATGTATCTCGATTAGATGACTTGGAACTTGAGTGACACAAAAGGATCCACTCAGACAAACTCGACCTATCTGGAAACTGGGCCTACAGCGTAAAGCTGGATCAACCGAAGTTCCTTACGAATAATGACACGCAAGCTTTTAATAGCTCAGCCAGTCACATATGGGTTTCTCCTCGGATCAGTTATCATTTAATTCGTTGTCCATAATAATCATCTTGTTTAATTTTTGGACTGCTAATATGAAAACCATATTTCGCAATAATACATACATACATGACCTCATAAACTTATCCGATCCTTTTATTTTGACATCTAAATTAAGACTAATACCTATTATGTTAAACCAATCGATATCAACACTTTTTGCTAACATGACATGTAGCGTGTAATTAAGTAAGAAATGGGCGTGAAGTATCAAAAATTATAGTTTTCCTTATTTCTTATAGAAAAAATTATTTTTCAATACACACAACCACCTCTACCGGGAAGGGGTTCTTAAAACAGCAAGCGAGGGGGTGGGGAGAAGATGTTGCCGTCGATGAAAGGGAAGAAGATGACCGGCAAAGTCATCTCTAACTAGATATTAGATCAAATTAACAAATAATCAAACGCCTTAAATTCATAGTGTAGCTGCTGGCTAAACATTTTTTTAGCTTAACCCCGATATCTTATTGGTACCAATATTTATAAATTTACAAGTTAAACCAATAATATTCAAAATCGAACTGACCAATAAGCAACCCTAATTGAGGTTCGAACCTGTCTATATTTTTTTCAGTGTACAATCTACTTGTATTTTCGGTGTACATAACTCCATATAGTTACAACCAAAAAAACGTTTCTTTTTCTCATCCCGAACCAATTTAAAAATGACGACAAAACTGAGTTGTCAAATACAGCAAAGAAAACAGTAGTCCTAGTTTATTGTCTCTGCAATATATGTTCTCATCCTTTAAGCCACCTTCAACTTCCTTTTCTTTCCTCTTCTTTCTTCTTCTACTTATAATAACTTCCCAATCCCCAAACTATCAATAATTCTTGACCTTCCCCAATTTGTACTGTTCTCTGTTTTATTAGCCTATTAAAGGCCTTGTTTTTTAAGAGAAAATGGCGGATGAAAACGTTCATAAAGTGACAGATGCTTTGCCAGCCCCAATTACACCTCCGGCAGCCGGAGATGGAGAGAGCCAAGCACCGGGAATCGGCGCGGGAGTGTCCAACATCGTCAAAAGGTGGAAAAGAGAAGATATGGTGAAGAGGGGTTCTTTACTTTTACATGGTCTTGCCTTGGTTTTTTCATTGATTGCTTTCATTGTCATGGCTAGCAATACTCATGGTGATTGGAAAGATTTTGATCGATATGAAGAATACAGGTATACACTTCGTTTGGACAATAATCATAATATTTTTTTTCTTTGAATTAAAAAATAAGTATAGGCAATATCAATTTGTTTTGATCAAGTTTTAGTCATGTTAGTATGTTTACTTTATATCCGATGTATTTTAAGAATCTTTTAGTTCCACTTGGAGGTTTATAACAGTAGCAAAAAAAAAAATCTATACATATATATATATATATATATATATTGTTATATATTTTTTATTTTTACTTTTAATTGTATATATTGCATAATACTGGAACTAAATGAGCTTAAATGGAGCGACATGGACAATGAGGATTCATATTGCCGATGCAACATATTTGGGATCGAGACGTAGTAGTGATTTCTAATATCGGAAATTGAATTGGAATTTTGGGATGTGGTTACAACAGGTATGTGTTGGCTATTGCAATTCTGTCCACATTATATACAGGATTGCAAGTTCTGAGACAAGTTCATGAACTTTCAACTGGCACGGAATCATTCTCACGTCAAAAATTAGCTTTGCTAAGCTTCTTTGGTGATCAGGTTAGTGATTTTCTATATTTATATGAACAATTGAATTCAATAAACTTGAAAAGGGAAGAGTAGTTCTTGATTGAATTTTGATCTAAAATTTTACGGGAATTGCAGGTGGTAGCATACTTGTTATTATCAGCTGCATCATCTGCTGTGCCATTGACAAATAGGATGAGAGAAAATAATGACAACATATTCACAGATTCTTCAGTAGCAGCAATTAGTATGGAGTGCTTGGCATTCTTTGCTTTGGCTGTGTCAGCTCTTATTTCTGGATATAAGCTCTCAAATAAATCCCACATTTGATGAAATCTTAAAGACAGTCTGAGTCTGATTATTCTGCCTATGTTATACAGGGACGGATGCAGAGTTCCGTTACCGATTCATCTTAACTCAGTACTTGCGACGCGAAGCATAAATTTATGTGAAAAATGTACTAACATTGTAACAAATGGTAGGTCTGAATCCACGACTTTAAAAATACAGTGAGTTCAATGCTAAGAACCTTAAAGGTTGAACCCATATAATTTAAATCCTGGATCCGCCTCTGCGTTATTCGTTCTTTGTTTTCATTTTTCCCCCCATGTACATATGTATCAAAGCTACAGAGATATTGCCTGTTTGCTGAAAACCTGTATGTTAAAATTCAGAGTGTAAATTGATCTGTACATATATCAAAGCTGCAGAGAGGTTATTCCCTCTCCCCATCTCATACTCTCTCTCTTTAGTTTGACTCGGCACGGAGTTTAAGAAAATAAAATAAGATTTTTGAAACTTGTGGTCTTAAAAACTTAAGGGGTTTTACCTTTGTGGGGCTATGACATTTGTGTGTTTATAAAAGCTTCTCATTAAGGGTAAAATGGATAAAATGAAGAGTTTAAAGTTGAATTATTTCTAATTAGTGTATCATCTAAATTGAAACTGAGGGAGTAATATTTGTTAAACTTACTCCATTTACATATTGTTTGGTCTAGCATTGAGATATAGATTCATTTTTCTTTTGGAAATTAAAATAATAACTAGCTAGAAATTTCATTCAAATAACAAGTTGACAGAGAATTGCCGCAGAGAGAATTACTTTTGACCCTATAATAGAATGTAAATCAGTTAAAATGGAATGAGGGAACATTTAATTAGTATCTCAATTTTTCTCGTTCTCCGCCCGAGTCCGGTACCCACTTTGTGGCCCGACTAATTCGAAAATGTGCTAGAAGGTCTCACTTAAGATGGTAAAGCGCTATCTAGTAAAGGATATCCATTCCCAAGACTTGAAACCAAGACATTAGTAAAATGCTCTCTCCCAAAGGAGACTCCATTCCCAGGACTTGAACCCGAGACATCTGATCGAGGATGAAAGGTACTTATGATACCACCCTAACCTTTATGGTGGACGTCGGTTGGGTTGTTAACGATTACGACCATTCAATGGCATTTTTCCTCAATTCTTCCATAACATAAGGGGGCGAGCTTGCACACAAGCCGAATGACATAGGTGCACAAGAGTATTTTGCGCCACAACCATCTCCTTATTATAAGTTCTACGGACCGACGCCTGCTGCTTCATCTTGGTGCATAGTTTAACTAGCAAGTTGTGAGACTATACTTTCTGCTGTTCTTTTTCTCGAAAGATCGAGTGACGTTTTAAGGAAAGATGAAAGCTTCTTGTAGTAACTTATAATTTTTTTTAAGTAGAAAGCAATAAACGATTCACAAAGCAGTTATTGAAACATGGTTTTCTCAATCTGTTCAATCCATCTCATAACATTTGTGACAAAATTGATCTAATGCCAGGGCAATGCTGAATGGCAAATGACTTTCCCTCTTTGGAATTTACCGAGTATTTAGAGAATACATATGAACAAGTTACAGACGCGAAACGCGGAAAACATGCACCATAAACAATGCACCTAATGCCTGATGAAGTGCTAACAGATGAACAAATGACTTAACCTTTGGGACGACGATCCATTTCATCACAGGCCACCAGCATAAACGGCTCAAACGGTTGACTTTAATCTTCATCTAAATTATCCAGCTGAATCTTCCAGCATAGTGGATCTACTTCAGCCTGTGTTTAACCAATAGGAGTAAGAAATAAGACATTTTCATTATTACAACAAAGATAATCAAAGCAAAAACGCCTCTTTTATTGCCTCAATAACAAGAAAGGCTCTGAAACTGCATGAAGTGGCATCACATACTTTTCAGAGGAAATGGAAAAGGTTAGAATCATATGAGAAAAGCACCTGAAATGGTTTCTCTCTCCATTGGAAGACACAACCTCGGGCTTCTAAATGTTGAAGAAGAGGTTGTGGTAGCAACGGTTTAAATGATGTCTGCAGCTTAACTTTAGTAAGTCCGCCGCAAGCCAAAAGTGCAGCTCCTAGTCCACCGGGAGACAAACCTTTCAGGTGTAGGATTGTCATGTTCTGCAGACTTCTGATGCTGGCAAGAGACAACAGCCCCACGTCCGTCACTGAAGTGTACGATAAATTTATCTGTGTATTTGACAGATGACCAGCTATTATTAGATGCCAATGCTCCACTCCGTCGAACATTACATTCAATGAAAGAGAAACTGTAGTTACCTGTTTGAGGTTAAGCGAGAAGTGAGCAAGTGGAATCATTCCAGCATCATCAATGTTGCGGCAGTTTTTGATGTCTAGCTTGGTAAGTTGCTTACATCCCACAGCAACAGCGGCAAGACCAAAAGATGTGACAAAAGGACAACTTCTACTTTCGAGTGTATTCAACTTTGAACACTTGGATAAAGATATGAACGAGCCATCAGTAATACGATTGCAATAGGCAATATTGATCATTTCAAGGCCAACACAACCGCGAGCAATTGCTAATATTCCCAAGTCGGAAATTCCAGCTGATCTGTCAAGAAGAATAATTAATCCAGCGATCAGCACACTTTATCTCTCGAACGTCATAGCGTAGAGTTAAGAGTTTCCCAGTCTATCACCAAAAAAAAAAAGTTCAAAGAAATTGCACAAGATATGAAGCACTGTGAAATATACACCTGTATAAATCAAGCTCCTTAAGATTTGAGCAGCACATGCCAATGTGAGTAACGCCCTGATCAGTTATATTCAGGCAGATCCCCAGCTTTAGGCTGGAAAGACGGGCACACTTGGAAATGGACTTCAAGCCTGCATATGTAGGAGAGCATAAGATACAAAAAGGTGGAAGTTTTGAAATCACGACAAAAGCCTGAAACCTTTAGGGCAAAGGGGTGACCTTCATCGTCAACTTCGTTGTCCGTAAGGTCAAGCTCTTCAAGGTACTGGCAACGCTGTCCAATTAGAACAAAAGCTTCTCTCGGGACTAGAGTACAAGACTCCATCCTGAGAGAAGTAAGGGAGGCACAGGAATTTGTTATATGGGAAATGGATACGTGAGTTATCTTGCGGCAACAAGTAATGTCAAGCTTCCTTAAGTCTTTGTGCTTTGTTACGAGGGAGCAGAGACCACCATCCGTCACCCCCAAGCATTTACTTAAGCTCAGTTCCCTTAGTGAAACACACCAATTTCCAATAGCTTTCAGTCCAGAGCATGTAACTTGGCAACCATCTAGTTTGACGGACCGCAACCTGGAAAGCTTCTGCAAGCTATCCGCGACAGCTGATGTTACCTGAAATACCAATAATTGTAAATCATCAATCGAATTAAAACTCATACTACTGAAAGATGCTTAAGTCAGTTAAGCCTTACAGGAGAACCATATGCTAAGATAAGTTGCTGCAGACATTCGGCACTGCTAGTGAGAGATGACAAACCCACGTGACTAACATTCTGACAGCTTGACATATCAAGTGCCTGAAAAAAAGCCAACATACATGTAGTGATATTAGTCAACAGTGACTTTGAATGAAAAGTAGAAATAACTTGTAAATGGGAGCAAAAACAAAAACAGATAATGATGTGCAAGGGAACACTTTAATTTCATAATAGGCCACTTCTTTGGGACATCTGACAATCAGGTAGAATTCTGAGCTGCCTATACTCCGGGTTACCCAAATTATTAACTATCTCAGAGAACTTATAATAGTGTTGGCATAGTGAGACTCCAAGTATTATTTTTTGTTTTTGATAACTGTGATGTCTGGGCCGGCTTATGCGGACCTCGACTAATTCCACGGGAACGAGATACCTGCTACCTCCCACCAGCAACAAGTACCAGGTAAGTCTGTCCTCCAAGCTTGGACAGATGGAAGAAATCACCTAGTCTTTTCGCCTCTGTTGGGATTTGAACCTGAGACCTCATGGTTCGTAACCCACTTCATTGACCACTAGGCCACACCCTTGGGTTCCGTGAGACTCCAATTATTAACTAGGCAATTAAGAAAAGTAGCCATATACTTTGTACATGTGAAAGAAAGGGTGCTTGAAGCTAGGATTATATCACAATTCACAAATTGTAGTCCACACAATAACAATATCCCTTTATTTTTTTCTATTTTCCGAAGGAAAGAAGAATATCAGAACCAAAGTCTTCAGGAGTACACACCTTTAGTGACTTGCAGCCTTGCTTGAGGGATGCAAGGCTGTCATCATCAATCCCGTAGCAACCTTCTAGAACCAAATCTTCAAGATATTGCAGTTTCGAGATTGACGATAAGCATTCATTAGTGATCTGCATCATAAGAAGATTAACACATTATTGTACAATACTCAGATAGAGCCAGCAGAAAGAAAAAAAAAAGAACATAGCAAAGCCAAAACAAAATGGAAGAAAGAAAAGAAGATAGGATCTCATAACAAGACACTGAAAAAGACGACATAAAACAACTTCATAAATACAGGAAGCCACCAGAACGTTGTTACATCTGGAATTTAATTTCAGAACCAAAGTCGTAGTAAACTGGTAAGTAAAAAAAAAAAGACTTTGAAATCATGTCAACAAGAACTTTCTCATAGTAATTAATGGTCACCGATGTAACTGAGACCTGTAGAGCAGACAAATTAAGCTACTTTACTAGGTCATATACTAATACTTTAGCAGTGAGCACATACGAGAGAATCTGCTTAGATACTCTACAGCAATAAAACCTACAATAATTTCAAGTCATCCAGGAGTACAATAAGAGAACATTCAAGTATTCATCCGAAAAGGTATAGGATTCTAGAGCTACACGTGTTCAAGAGGATTCAATAGCTGGACTCTGCAATGTAGCTTCTCTTTGGCAAACTTCAGGCCAGAAGCATGCTAAAAGGCGCATCTCCTCAGTGGAGAAAACACAATACAAAGGATACACTTGTCTAAGACAGGTTGAATATTAGCAAATGTGTAATAATGTTTGATAATTTTTTGACGGATGTCCTTTCCCTTCTAATTCAAAAGAATCAGCATTGAGTTTGATGCATTAGTGACACGTAAGCACTTGTTGACCACTGCAAACTCATTACGTTCCTTATGGAAGATAGAGAACAAAAATATGCTTATGAAGTTTTAAGAAAGAAGATTGTTATAGAATGAACTTAGTCACATTTGATGTGATGTGCGCAGATAGCATATTTATAAGCATTAATAGCAGATGTATAGGATTTCCCTTTTTGATTCTTTCCATAGTTAGAACCCTATGTACATGTATTTATACCTGTTACCTCTTGGAATAATATACAAGTTCTTCCATTCAATTACAAAGATAAAATATAGCAGTCTCTAAGACCATGTTAAAGATATAACAAACTAACATTCCCAAAACAATCTTCACTTAAGCTATATTTGTTATAAGACATACATATGCATATTATGCATCCAGGATACATCAGAATTCAAATAAACCAATTCCATAACCATTTTGAAAGTATGTCAATTAATCTGATAAGCAATTAATCTGTTAACTAGCTTGGTAAAAGTATGACAATGAGAAATAAAACAGTTCTCAAAATCCTCAAGTAAAGTGACAAGTCACATGATAATCATTGATTGCAACATGAAGATACACAAAGAATTCACCAGCTTCAGGTCCAGAATAAATATTGTCAACTGAACAACCAACCAATCAACCGCATACTCTTACCATGACAACGCATTCAAATGAACTATTCCCTCTGTTCCAATAAGAATGACACTATTTCCTTATTAATTAGTAGGTTCAAAAGGAATGGAACCTTTCTAAATTTGGAAAAGATTTAACTTGAACCTCCCATTTACCCTTAGTGACAAGTTTTTATAGCCACACAACTGTTATGGTATATTTAAGCTCACAAGTTTCAAACGTCTTCCTTTCTTTCTTAAGCTTTGTGTCCAATCAAATTACGTCATGTAAATTGAAACGGAGGGAATATATTAGACAAACAAACAAGCTTACTATGAAAGCATAAAACAGAAACAAGTTAGACTAAACTCAAAAGGGGAAACACGAAAAGATAACAACCCAAACAAACTTCCAAGAGAATATACAACACAAAAGAACAATCTCAAAATCAAAATAAAGGGAAGAAAAGATCCATTACCGGCAGGTAAGAAAGATCCAAACAACGAATCTCCTTACACTTAACAGCAATTAAACCCACACCTAAATCACCAACACCCAAACACCATCTCAAGCTAAGCAACCTCAGCTTCCTGCAGCCTACAGCAATACAACCAAGTCCAATATCTGTTATAGACTTACACCTCACCAACCACAACTTCTCCAAGTTCTTTGCCTCAGCTAATGCAGCAGCACCCACATCCTTCAACTCAGTGGCATTTGACAAATCAATTTCAACCAAATTCCCACAGTTTAACACCAAATTGGACAACCCCAAATGAGTAAAAAACTTAGACCTTGAAAGATTAATTGACCTCAACATTTCCTTGCAAAAACTAGCTATAACTGTGAGTGAACTGTCTGTAATTCTAGGACAAAGGGAAAGATCAAGATGGTTAACTTGTGGGTATCTGCTAAGAATCTTTGTCAAGTGTTCTGACCTAAGGGGTTTCAAGATTTTCCTATGGTGAGATTCAGTAGCATAAAAAGTCTTACAAACAAGAGAAAATGATTTTTTGTCAATTGGGTTGTCATTAAGATAATCAAGAATTGAAAAGACAATTTCTTCAGAAAGAAGATCAAAGTGATTGTTGAAATTGGATTGTGAATTTGGTTTTTGCTTCTTCATTGTTCCCAAGATTGAAACTTTAGGGATCATTTTGAGCTAAAGATTAGAGCTTTATGCTTTTCTATACAAGTTGACACAGCTTTGTTTTGTAGCGTAGATTTGGTATTAAAAAGAAAAAAGAAAAAATTACTATGTGTTGAGAAATTTGGAAGAATAAGAAGATGGTATGTAGGATTTTAGGGGAGAATTTTGCAGGTGGAGATATAAAAATTTTGTATGTGAATTTGATGACAGAAAATTAGAAGCAACCGTTAACAGAAAAACACTGGCCTAGTTTGAGCAGCTCAGAACCAAGTGAAGATGAAGAATGTCTAATTTACTTTTTTATCCTTCTTGGACTTCTCCATATTCTTGAAAGACCAATGTACCCTCTTAGCTTTGGAGAGTGGATACTTTCATGTATAATACCTTCCCTAGATGATGTATGTGTTGCAAAACTATCATCATGTGTTTGTTTGCCTTTTTCCAAAACAAACCTAACTTGGTAAAAATATTTCTCACTTGCATTAAAATTTTCAGAAGCTAATAGGGTGAGCCTCTCATATTCGTATCCCAATAGACTTTTCCTATTTAGCTTCCTTGTGAGTTAAAAAAAACTAAATTGCTATGTTTTAATGGTAAATGTAGAATGTTTACTAGGGAAATTAACTTGATTCTTCTATATTTGATATACTTATAGCCGGGTTTGCCAACTTCAAGTGCTTTTTTTTTTTAAAGTTAATATATTTAATCAAACTTTCAAAAGAAAAAAGTAGTTCTGAGTAGAAGTAGAAACGGTAAAGTAAGTTTACAACAACAACCCAATATAATGGGAAGGGTAATGTGTACGCAGACCTTACCCTACCCTGGGGTAGAGAAGCTGTTTCCGATAAACCCCAGCTCCCTCCCTCCAAAAATTAACCACCTTACTCTTGGGGTGACTCGAACTCACAACATCTTGGTTGGAAGTAGAGGGTACTCACCACTAGAACAACCCAACCTTGATTAAAAATTAATTGTTGTTCAAAAGTGATTTAAAAAAAATGGGATAATACTGAAATGTTTGTATAGTACTTAGTATATAAAGGGGTAAAATGGTCAAATAAGGAGGAAGGAGAATGCCGTACGGGAAAGGACAGAAAAGGATGGTAGCAATGGAGATGTTGACGAAGGCGTAATGAAGTCATTTTCTTCTGGAAATGGAATTGGGCCCAAAACCCAAATACAAAAAACAGGTCATTACGTAGACCATTTCATTCGGTGGAGAAAATATGTGAGGAAGGACACATTCAAGTGCAGACGGACGGTACGATTATCCTTTTTTTCATTGATTTTTTCAACATTTCTGTCCCCACACAAAGAATAAAGATAACCTTTCATGTGTTGCAAAAGCCTATTATTATTTTAATAAATTAGCTAGTTGTATTACCTTTTCTTTTTTTAGTCTGTTTTAAAAAAATATTATATTTATGTTTAAAAAAAGTTGCTAAAGGTCTCTCGTAAATAATTTTTAGGGTAAGACTGCATATATATATATACTATTTTTATACTGAATTTGTTATTGTTGATATTTTTAAAAAAAATTAATTTTAATATACTTATTGTACTTTTGATAAAATACTTAATAGTCACATAAAATTTAAAAGCTTTTTAAAATAATAAATTTCAAAAATCCTTTTTTATCCGTGTCTAATTAAATGATATCAAGCAAATTGAAACGCTTCTTTTTAGTGTTTCTAATAAGTTTGATATTATCACCTAAGTGGAAAAGTAAAACAATATTTTCTTAAAAATAAATACTAGCACCTGGGCATGAAATGATGATACTTTTGGTGGCCAACGAAGGTATTGACTCAATTCATACTTATCAATTCAGCAAAAATAATAGTACTATATGGTGTTATGGGTAAAAGGCCGTACTTATTGGGGATGGGTTTGTCAACAAAGTAACGTACCTACCTTACCCTGATAAGAACGGCTGAGCTTTGAACTTTGATGTATACATATAGGAATTTAATAAGAAAGAGAAAAAGTTGGGGGAGGGGGCCACAACACCACAAAATAATAAATAGATCAACAAATAAAGAAACTTCGTTGAGGACCTTACCTGAGGGAGGTTCTTTCTCACGCAGGCCTTAACTGACCTATTTGACAAGATAATGTTGTCTCAGTTCTATCCCTAGTATTCGTAATTTGATCCATTTATTAAAATGGCAGTCCGGTACAAAAAGATATTTTATATTCCTTTCCCTGTTCGAATCTATAACCTATAAATCACATAAAAATAATTCGATCGTTTAAATTTATTAACTCGACTAATTCTGATTCGCATTATATAGGACCTATGAAGAGGGAAACACTTTTTATTAAGGTTTATTTTTTTTAATTTTTAATATTCAAACCCAAAACCTCTTATTAAGGATTAATAAAAACTAAAAATATCTCGTTTGCATCCCAACATATCCCTCCTGATACTTGGTGGTATTACTATTGATTGATGTCAATACTGTTTGAAACCAAACGTAAGTATCTTATTGTTCGTTACTTTAGCTTTTCTTAGTGCAAACATAGACTTTTCCGTCTTGAATATATTAGTTTTAGTTTGCACGACTAGTTAAAAAGGTTGAAAAAAAGAGTATTATTTAGCTTTTGATAAGAGAAATGTGGGCTTAAGTACTTTATTCTGGTAAAGAAAACCAAAGAGAGTTAAAAATGGGTTTAGCGAACTTTTAAAAATAAATGCCGGTATTTATTTGAAATCTTTTATGGGTCATTTGGTAGGATGCATTACAGAAAATAACATATGTATTAACTTTTGGTATTACTAATCTCTTGTTTGGTACACTTTTTCAACATATGCATTACTAATGCAAGTATTAGTTATACAACCTATTTGATATTCTCCTATGTATAACTAATACATAAGAAACTATGGTATTAGCAATACTAAGGGGTCGTTTGGTAGGGGCAAAAGAATAATGCTGAATAAGGTGTATTAGTAATGTTGGTATTAGTTATGTTTTCATTAGTTATACTGACATATTTCTTATTCATTATTTGGTTTGATGTATTAAAGCATTGCACAATTTCTAAAAGAATTATTTGTTTGCAAAAATACCCTCATAACAAGTCCATCACTTTAATTTTTTAAAAGAAACATATGTTGAGGCATGTTCTTATATGAAAAAGGTTTTAAAAAATTATTTGATTTGTCTACATATATTGTAGTATATAACTGAATATTTATTTATTTATAAAAAAGAAATATGCTAAGTATTTATTTATTTACTAGGGATATAATTTTATTTTTCACTTTCTTGATCAAACTTGCATTAATATAATAGCATATTTTAATCAAGCATAAATTTTAAAGGACAATTTTGTCTTTAACTAAGCTAATGCATGCATTAAAACCCATCGCATTATTAATACAATGGTTTTCTATGCATTAGTTATGCATAGGATAATACCTAATAGGGTGTATAACTAATGATTGCATAACTAATGCATATGTTCAAAAGGTGTACCAAACAAGATATTATCAATACACAAAACTAATGCATGCATTTTGGTATCTAATGCATCCTACCAAACGACCCCTAAGGCCGTTAATGCATGCATTAGCATGGTTAAAGATAAAATTATCCTTAAAGTCCCTTAAAGCTAAAGAATATGGAGGGCATTTTTGTAAATAATTAATTTGCTTAAAAATTATGCAATGCATTTTAATTTTTAATACATCACACCCAACAGTGGATAAGAAATAATCTATACATAATATTATGGAAGCCGAATATATAGAGAGTGATTAAACCACAAATACTATATCTAAAGGTAGCTAATAAATAGTAAATTAGATAATAATAAAAAAACACCAGAAATTAACGAGGTTCGGTAAAATTTAATTTTTGCCTAGTCCTCGGACACAATCAACTCAAACTTTATTTCACTCCAAAAATATAAGTGAAATACTACAAGAGAGAAAGAAGATTCAAATACCTTAGGAGATAAGAAGGCAAGTGAGAGATGTTTACAAATGAACAAAACCCTTGCTATTTAAAGAAGGGAAATGACTTTAATAATGTTATCAGAGGCGGATCCAGGATTTGAGGCTCATGGGTTCCTACCGTAATTTTAAATTAATATGCAATAATAACTAGGTTCACCGTTAGATATTTATAAATATTTAATAAATTTTTTAATATAAATATAGGGTCTATGCAAAAGTTACTGGGTTCCTGAAAACCTGTATTCAATGCTCTAGGTCCGCCCCTGTATGTCATACATGACATCACATTAAGTGTGATCATACAATGTAAATGCATGAAAAAATGCATCTACCAATTTCTTCCTAAATCTCCACCTCGACAAGATTTCATTTTTTCAATTTTTTCTCACTGATAAATTTTGATTGTGTCTTCAACTTCAATCTTCAAAGTTCAACAATGTTGATCAAGTTTAAACAATGTTGAAACTTAATCGCAGTCACTACTTTTGGTAGTATATCAGCAGGGTTGTCTGTAGTCCGAATTTTCTGCACCTTGACTCCACCTTCTTCTATAATATCTCGTATAAAGTGATATCGAACATCAATGTGCTTCGTCCTTGCATGATAAACTTGGTTCTTTGCTAATTGGATAGCACTCTGACTATCACAAAATAGTGTGATGCTTTCTTGACCAATACCAAGCTCTCTAAGCAACTCTTGAAGCCAAATTGCCTCTTTTACAGATTCTGTAATTGCCATGTACTCTGCCTCAGTAGTAGACAAAGCAACTGTTGATTGTAAAATAGACTTCCAACTAACTGGTGCATTTGTAAAAGTGAAAACATAACCAGTAGTTGGTCTACGCTTGTCTAAATCACCTGCATAATCTAAGTCTCAATATCCAACCAGATATTGACTATCTTCCTACTCAAAAATCAATCCAACATCTACAATATTATGAATATACCGCAGAATCTATTTCACAACTTGTCAATGCTCCTTTCCTGGATCATGCATATACCTGCTTACAACTCCGATAGCATGTGAAATATCAGATCTTGTGTAAACCATTGCATATATTAAGCTACCAACGGCATTTGCATATGGTACCCTTGACATATACTCTCGTTCAGCTTCATTCTTCGGCGACATAGCATCATTAAGCTTAAAGTGGACTTCGTGTTGTCATTCATGCCAAATCGATCGATTACTCTCTTCAAGTATTCTTTCTGAGATAGATAGAGTTTCTTTGAATGTCTATCTCTTTTTATCTCCATGCCAAGAATTTTCTTCGCCTCACCTAAATCCTTCATCTTAAACTCCTTTCTTAGTTGAATCTTCAACTTTCTCAATTTCCTCTCGACTTTTGGAAG